TGGGTCACAATTCGCCGCTTCCGCGCATGCACGTGACGTCATTTTGAATGTCTGCACATGTGCGAGCGGCGAAACCCTGAAGTAACGCACTCTGTTACTTCCAGGTCACCACGGAGCGCAACCTGAAAACACTCAACCTGAAGCTACTTCAACCCGAGGCATGACTGTATTACTTGTGTCAGGGGCTTGCAGCTAAAGCTCAAAGAACCTACAGTAATTTGAATAGGGTTAAGAAAACTGTAGCAAAAACAAAAAAACTAGCAACCAGATCCAAAAACACATTTGCAGGCATTAAGGGGCTTTTTAATCTGATTTTTAAAAATCTAGTTTTATCTGCAGTGTTATACTTATGCCAGCACAGCTCAGCACTCCATACGTACACATAGAACAGGATAGATTATGTTCAGGCTGAATGTTTACAATGGGGGGAACCAGCAAGGACATAAAATAATATCATCATAAGGACATAAAATAATATCATCATTGCTACAACTATTGTGGATAAAAACACACATTTTTAAGTATCCAAGCACTTTACATATACAGTGGTCCCTTGGTTTTAGGACAGCTCAGTTTATGAACAACTTGAAAATAGAATGCTTCATTCCGGTTTGTGAACTTTGCCTTGGAAGCAGAACAAGTTCCACTTCCTGTTGAGTCTGTCAGCTGTTGAGTCCTGAGCACCCCCACAACACAGAGGTCATATTTGGAGCTTTTGTTTTTGCTATTTTTTGCGGGGGGTTTTGTGCGGCTTTTTCGTCTTTTTGACTGACTTGTTCTTCATTTTATGGGACTGACTTGTAACTGTGGCTTGTGACTTCGTTTTTGTGACTGTGTGGAACCCAGTTCAGCTACTGATTGATTGATTGATTGATTGATTGATTGTGTGACTGCAGATATGGATAAAAGCCCCCATCCAAACAATGACTATCATCAGTGCACGTAAAAAGAATTAAAATATATATATATATCATCTACAATACTGTCTTATTTATGTTATAGTACATTGATTATTGCTTTCATTTTATGGATCAATGGTCTCATTAGATAGTAAAATCCATGTTAAACTGCTGTTTTAGGGGTTGTTTTTAAAAGTCTGGAACGGATTAATCCATTTTGCATTACTTTCTATGGGAAAGCACGCCTTGGTTTTAGAATACTTTGGTTTTGGAACAGATTTCCGGAACAGATTAAGTTTGGGAACAAAGGTAACACTGTACTAGCTTGGAATACTCCATACAACCCTGTATGTATGTATGTATGTATGTATGTATGTATGTATGTATTTATTTTTGTTTGTTTATTAAATTTGTATACTGCCCCTATACCCGTAGATCTCAGGGCAGTTCACAACATAAAGTCACAATATGAAAAACAGAAAATACATAATAAAAACAAAAACAAATGCAAAGCAATACTCCTCCCTTCCACAACACATTTTAAAAGGGCATCAGATGTCAATCAGCCAAAGGCCTGGTTAAAGAGGAAGCAGGTTGCTCAATATTACCACACACACACATAGCATAATCCAGATACAATAGGGGTTTGAAATAGCATCTTGCCTAATGCCACTGGGCAAGTTTATAACATAATTAGCAGGGAATGAATTGCATTTCCCCCGTATCTAAATACTGATACAGTATTTGCCATTTTCTCCAATATTCACTCAATCCACAACAAAGACAGTAGCTTGAAAGACAAGGAATCCAGCACAACCGATGAATATCAGTTGCACATTTACAATAATTATGCATTTATTGTGCTATATAAGCCAATTTTGTCTGGAAAGACACGCCAGAGTGCCAGTGGAACTTAATTGCATGTGGACTTAAGAGAGAGGTGGTAGAAAGGAAGAGGGGTGAGCAGTCACAAGAACTCAGCATATTTAGGCTGGAGAAAGAGGGGATGACAAAAAGATGAAGGGGTGTGAGAGGAAGGGCAAAGCAATAGAACAGCAGTTTAAGATAAAAATAGGTGCTTTAAACACCTTGAAAACCAGTTGGTCTCCACAGCAACTGCAGGTAACCAGAATTAATGGGTTTAAATTACAGGAAAATAGATTTAGGTTAAATATAATAAAGAAACAAAATAATTGGTGGGCAATTGCACAAATTGGATGCAGACTGATTTATCCATCTCATTAGAGGTTTCTAAACACAGGTTGGGTAAACCTCTATTACGTGTCGAAATCCTTTAGGTGCTACCGACCTTCTTCAAAAAGAAACCTTCTAGTCTGACACAGGGCTTTTCAGACTGCAATACTATGTACACTTATAAGTCTCATTGAACTTAGTGTGACTGAGTAAACAATAAAGTACTGTGCAGTTATAAATAGAGCCTCAGGGCCAAACTAGACAAGATAAAAGAGATCCATCTTTTGTTCACCTATCTGTATTTTAGCCAAAAGCAGCCATGGGGGGAGCCCCATCTCAGCTGGGACCATGTATTTGAGGAAAACAGCTGTTCCCCCCCACCAGTCCAATTTACCTGTGAAAATTATTCCCTCACTCACACCCAGCTACTATATTACCAATGAAAATTATCCACTCATTTGTTCTCCTACAGCTTCTCTCTTATTCTGTTTGGTGAAAAAGTTGGTCAGTGATATTAGAGGGAGCCAACTGTGCAGTGCTTTCCCCCAATATCAGTGTAGCCAAATAATAAGAGGATATTATTGAGGTTGAGGGAGTTGGGTATGTTTACTCTGGAAAAGAGGACACTTGAGAGGAGATATGATAGCCATCTTCAAATATCTAAAGGGCTGTCACATGGAAGATGGAAGAAGCTTGTTTTCTCCTGCTCTGGAGAATAGGACCCAAACCAATACCTTCAAGTTACAGGAAAGGAGATTCTGAGTAAACGCTGGGAAGAACTTTCTGATGGTAACAGCCGTTTGACAGTGGAACAGACTCCCTCTGAGTCTCCTCCTTCAATGGAGGTTTCTAAGCAGAGGTTGGGTGGCCATCTGTCATGGATGCTTTAACTGAGATTTCTGTAATGCAGGGAGTTGGACTAGATTACTCTTGGGGTCCCTTCCAACTCTACAATTCTATGATTAGCATTTCCCCAAATGGGCAAGATAGCTCTTCCAAATCTGTTGTTACAGATGTGTTAGGGGCATGGCTGGTAGTCCACTGGTTCAAATAGCCACTCATTCCCCAGGAAGTAAGCCATTTTCTCTCAGTTTCAGCCTCTCCATTTCAGCAATAGAGGGAAAGAACAACACTGGCTTACTTTACAGCTTGGATGTGGTCCCTTTTTCAGTATTAGGGCCACAGTCCTTTCTGGCTGGCCTTTTGGGGCATGTACCAGAGATGGGTGGTGCCTGAGTTAGAGGTTGACAGAGCAGTTTTACCTTTGTATAGTAAGCTAATTTCTTCACACTCACTTCTCTCTCTAACCTCCACCAATACAAGCAAAAAGCATAATCAGTTCATTACACCTTCTAGCCAGGCAAAAACACACAAGGAGGTTGCAAAGAGTGGGGTAGTTCAGAAGAGTCCTGGGGACTGGGAGGAGTCCCAGGGGCCCAATAGAGAAACCTGGAGGACTGCATTTGGCCCCTGGGCCTGAGGTCCTCCAATCCTGCTTTCCACAGTTGTTGCAAGGATTCCCTTGTCAAAGGATGTGACCTATATGGCATGGCTCCAGTTGCAAAGCAGGTACTGCAGTGCCAGGATTGTCAATCTTTTATTCTTTGCAACTATCAATCTGAAGTCACCTTTTCAAAATGGCACCTTTTATCCCAACAGGACAAAGCCAAATCATGCCTTGCTACTATAAATTCATCAGTCATCACACAGGACTGTCCATTTTCAGGCAGATCTCTTAGAAGCAGGATTTTAAAGACTGCATTAAAGCCATTCCTGCAGAGGCCAGAAGTCTTACTTGCTGAGATGCAAAGACAGACTTGCAGTGCCTGGTTCCCAAAGAAAGCCCTGTGAGTAACATAGCTTTTCACTTCCATAGCCCAGAGTAGATGGGCACCAATTATTTTGAGTGCTTCTGGTGGTTTCTTCTTACTACAGCCAGCCAGCCAAAAGCCACTAAATAAATCACACTACTACTAGAACCCATTACATTTCCAAAAGGGAACATTCAGGTGGATTTGTAAGAAGAAATAATATAAAAATTAAATAGTGCAGCACAAGGGACTCGCTGTGCATTTTGCAAGCTGTTAAGACAAACAGATTCTGCAATGAAAAGGGGTGCTTTCACCCCTCCCCAGACTAAAGAAATTAAAAAGAAAAGAGATATACTGTACTGCATTTTTAAAAATCTACACAGGCCAGAACCTGCAGTGAACTTGGCAAAATGTAGGATCTATTTAACAATGCATTTGGGTAAAAAAAAAAAATAAAGAAATCGGCATAAAGTTCAAATCCTAATTTAATACATTAGTTCTAGAGACCTTACATTAAAAATAGGAACAGGCTGAGGAAGGAGGGAACCAGCACACATGTAGCAGCCCTTCATACTGTTGGCCATAATAGAGTAGCTGCATTAAGTATTATTATCTCTCAATCTTTCAGAGAAATCTACACTTTTCCTTCCTCCTCGGCTACTTTGCAAGTTTTATGCTGGTGTTGGTGAAAGGACTGCAGCACTCTGTCTAGTTCACTACCCCCTCCTCAAAAGCAGCGATGACATACAGAACCTTCTGAGCTAAGACAAAAAATGACTTTGAAGACCCAATTGATAGAACTAAAGGACTGGCTAAGTCTAGCTCACCAAGCCATTTGAACTGACAAAAACCTCCTGGAACCCAGCAGGTCAAAGGCTACAAATACAGAGAAAGACACAGACTTCTAGCTGTCATTCAAAATAAAACTTGATCCACCTTTAACCTGGGAGTAAGTCCCATTGAATTTAATAGAACTCACTACTGAGCAGACATGCCTAAGATGGTGATGAAGAAGATTTTATAGAAATCATAGAACTGCAGAGTTGGAAGTAACCATGAGGGTAATCTAGTCCAACTCCCTGCAATGCAGGAATCTTTTGCCAATGTGTGGCTCAAACCCACAACCTTGAGATTGAGTCTCATGCTCAACCAACTGAGATAGTGAGAAGGACAATTTGAGTCTGTGAACTTCATTGGAAACGTTTAGGGCCATGTCACTAACTGAGAAGCTGGTGACTTCAATATCAGAGTCTTCATAAGATATTTTGCACATACAAAACAACTTGCTCCACTCTTAAGGTACCCGAGAGCCAGTTCAGTATATTCCTTATTACATTATACCAGTGTGGCGGAAAGAGAAATGTGACAATTACACACTAGTTTGCTTTCACTGGGAATCCACTGCAGCTTCCCACTTAAATTACACACATGATTTTTTACACATGTTCAGCTTTATAGGGGAAATTACATTTATCAAGTGGCCCTCATAGCCATATGTACACATCCCATTTATTGACACACAGTCCCTTTGGCTGACATACCTTCTATCACCTGAACAAGTTGGTCAGGCTTCCAGATCCCTTGTATTTCAATGGGACACAAGACTGTGACTTATTCCACAGGGTGACAGCTGCACAGAACACCATTAGGGACATCATTGATTTTGCAAGACCACTTCACAACAGACACCCCATGCTGCTCCTTATATTTGACATTTGGGTCATCTGATCCCTCTGCCCATTGCTATGCACACTCCACTTCCCACCATATATTCCCCAGCCCTTAATCGAGGCTTAATTGGCCTCTTCCACAGCCCACTCCTCCCATATATCCAGTAGTCAGGAACCTCCATCGAAATGGCAGCTCAGCACCCCGCTCCACTCCAGAATAGCCTTCTCAGTCTAGTGTTCCTACCCATTATTCCATAGTTGTTCCTTTAAATCCCACCCCTACTACACAAAATCATTGCCCCAGAGATTGCATAATGTTGTTCTTGCCCCCCCCCCCACCATCTCCACACACACAAAGAGTTGCGCTCTCAGGGCAGGACTTTGAGGCAGCTGTTTGGTGCCCCACTCAGCAGATGAGGGCCAGAAATGCAGCAGGGTTGACTTGCCACAAGGATTTCAGTCACATCTTAAGGTGAGGAGGAGTGTAAGCCCACTAAGTCCCAGAGTCTGGAATAGTATGGCTGCAGACCCCCCAAGACTTCTTCAGCCTACCCTGCACCATTTTCAGTGCCTGACCTGACGCAGATGAGCCCCTGGGTGGGCGCTAAAGTATCCCACATCCTGCCCCACGGATTGCTCCACCACGATGGGCCACTTACCTTACCCCTCTAGCCCAGCCTCCGTATTCTACAACGCCCCCCCCCCACTCCCGATTTCCTTACCAGATGCTTCCACAACTAAACAATCCCGCCTCCCTAAAACCCCAGCCGATGTTGCAAGCCCGCAACACGGAGCCCACCTCTTGCTGATTGCCCTCGAGGCACACCTCGCAGCTTCCATCTCCAGCAGCAACTCCCACCGCCCCAGGCTGGCCCAGATCCTCTCGTCCGCTCCCCACACCTGAGCCTGCTCCCCTCCACGTCCCTATCCTCTCCCCCCATGCCCTGACCTCCAGAATGCCCCAGCCCCTTTTCTCTCACGATGCCCCAATTGCCCGCCATATCCTAACTCTTCAGAACGATCCCCCCACCCATGTACCCCAAAGCCTGGTCCAGATACGTGACCAGCGCAGAGCCCGCCCCCCCCCCCCCGCCACTACACATTATATTCCGCCTCGCCGTAAGCCCAAGCTCTCTCTCTCACACACACACACACACACACACACACACACACACACACACACACACACACACACACACCCTCCTGCGCTTGCAGGCAGCAACGCGCCCTCCCTCAGCCTTCAGACGACCGTAGCCCTCCAAGCCTCCCGCAGCCGCATATTCCGAGGAGCCCTCTTTGTCTACCGCCTCCTACCCTACAGTGCCCCCCAATTAGACGCCCATTCTCACGCGCACTCTGTCACACACGTATATATACCACACGGCCTCGTCGCCCCCTACACGCGCAGCCGCCCCCCTCTGTCTCTCACCTGCCCTCCGGCCGCTGCCCGCGGGTCCCACACGGCTCGCTCGCGCGCGCTCCAGCCAGACACCCCCGGCCCGGATTCGCCTTTCCGCTCGCGGTCCGAGCCGGTGCCGAATGAGCGGCCGCCGCCACCGAGGCGAGAAGCCGCAGCTGGGAAGCGAGCGAGGAAACCCGCGCGAGGCTCTCTGCGCCGCCATCTAGCGGGCTCCCTCAGCACGGCCAGCGCGGCTTACCCTGAAACCCTCAGCCAGCCAGGCCAGGGGAAAGGAGGGGGTTTGCGGGGTTAGGGGCAGGGGCTGGGTTCAAAAATAACTGGAATTTTAAAAAGGAACACCGGAACCGGTTTTGAGGGCCAAGATTCGGCCCGGAAAGGTGTGAAGTAATTGAGAACAAAAATAAGGCGGCAGCCCTCTGGGCACGTGCAGAGTGCACATAATCCATATCCCGCAAAAAAAACCAAAAAAAACCCGCCTCCTGTCCACGTTGGGAGCAAGCAGTAATGCCAACCCTGGGTATCCAGGATCCCAAGAGAAAAGGATTTATGACCCCATAACAGGTACTAGAGAGGCTTCAGGAGAAGCTTCCAAGAGGCATGTCTTGTGTGAACAATTACCAGTATATTATCTAATCCAGCCAATGATTCAGAGTTGCAGATCTAAAACCACTTAAAGCAGATTAGTTCCTCCACTTAGCATATTTTAACGCATTTTGTGTTAAGATGATGAAGCGATGATAGAAGGGCAATTTCCATCCACCCACGTCTTTGCAGAGCATCTTTGCATGGGAGAGGAATTTATCGACTTTGCCCCTGGAGGCTAGAGGATATGCCTAGATATAGACTCCATATGACCCCACTGAGGAGTCTCTCCTCCAGGTTGTAAATCTGAACAGAAACATGTCCTTCCATTCTCTCCCTCACCTACTTAACCCTCAAACAGGATGATCCTATGGGTCCGCTTAGGACCTGTTCACACCTCAGTTAATTGTGGATTGTCTACCCCTTGTGTGCCAATTAATTCCCCTGTGTCCCACAGTTCTTCACTGTATGCAACTTCTACCTCACACTTTCCCCTTCTGTAAACCCAAAATTACCTAGTGCTCAGAAAATCCAAAAATAAATGTGTACCTCTTATAAATCCACATTTTAAACCATTCCGGGAGAGCTTTCTATGATTTTTTATATGTGGGCAGTTCTGATCCATCTCTTCCCTCTCTTCCCACTTCAAAAAATGTTAATAAAAGCAGCTTTATTATTATAAATGTTTATTTTTACTATTATTAACAATTACTGTATGTTACACCCACCCCAAAATCAATGTGGTATGATCCAGAATGAGTGATAGAAGCAGGTGAGCGCCAACATCAAAACTTACGGTAATCACACTGCTCTTGGGGGATTTGGAAAAGGTGCCAAACAATTTGTATTGATTTTAATAGAATGAGCTTGAAAAAGCAATGGAACAATCAGCTAGGGGGCTTAAATGATCTAACTCCGAGACTGTGCTGAACAATTTGAGAGCTAGGAAGTAAGGATATAAGATGGTAGCGAAAATTAAGAAATGCCATTTTCAGAAACAATTTTGTGAAGAAGTCAAGCACCCAGCTAGATGAAATGACGCTTAAACATCTTGGAAGCTAGTTGATCACAATTGTGATAACAAGAATTGACTCGTGGCAAACACTTCTAATTTGGCCTGAGAAAATGGTTTCTAAGCTTTAAACTCTTCAGCTAGTGCTACTGATAACCAGGACATTATAAAGGATTCAAGTTGTAATCCAAATCCCAATTACCTGAGGGTAAGACCTATTGAATTCAATACAACTCCCTTCTGAGCTGACATGATTAGGACTGCACTACCCATAATAGATGAAGAGGTGTTTAAACCCTTAATTTTTATTTACCATATTTTTCTGTGTCTAAGACGCCCCCATGTATAAGACACCCCCTATTTTGGAGGACTCCAAATTAAGAAAACACCCCTCAGCACTACCCGTGTATAAGACGAGCCCCAATTTTAAACCTAATTTTCTGGTTAAAAAACCTAGTTTTATACACGGAAAAGTACGATATTTATTTTATTAAATTTATATACCATCCTATAGCCGGAGGTTTCAGGGCGGTTCACAGAATAAAATAATTTCCCTTGCCAGGGGAAGATGGTATTCCCATAAAACTCTGAACGACACAAAAATATTTTTTAAAATTGTATATTCGTGATGTACTGTTCTATTTTATTTTTTATTTGTAAGAGATGGGTTTTTTGTTTTGTTTCTTTCCTTTTTTTCTTTTTCTAAGTTTTCCTTGTGTGACTATGTTGATTTTAAACCAATAAAGATTGAATGACAACAACAACAATAATAATAACAACAACTTCTGAACTACACAGAAACATAGGGAGCTGCCATACTTGCTCAAGCCATTGGTGCATCCAGCACAGCACTGTTGACACTGGCACAATCTCAAAGGTTTCAGGCAGAAGTCTTTCCCAGCCCTACCTGGAGTAGCTTGGGATTGAGCCTTGGACCCTCCGCATGAAGAACATATTGTGCATGGGGGAGGTTTTGCAAGGGGTGGGATCCAATGCTCTATCAATTTAGTGTTTTTATTTTATTTGCATTTAGTAACAGCTAAAATTACTGAAACTTCAAAGCTTAACTAATATTGTATTTGCAGTTTGCAGCCATTCGTTGGTACTAATGAACCTACGATGCAGAAAATGTATTGTGAAAAAAGGTACCATTTTGGAAAATTTTCTGCCCCACATCACCCCAAAGCATGTTCTCTACCACTGAGCTGCAACAATGTTCTCTCTGAATAGTAACTGTTTGTTTCTATATACTTACAAGATATATTCCTTAGGGATGACATGAATTCAACTTTCATTTGCCCAGGCAATTTTGACGAGACACTATCTGACAGCTTTGGGAAATTATTGCAGGAAAGATCAGTTATCTATACATTATAGTAAGACCAAGGTTATTTGTTGTCTTTGGTACATCAAGGAATTACTTGTGGAAGACTGATTACTGGACCATTGAACAAGTTAGATGTTTTTTACTTGGAGATTCATTTTTCAGGATTTAACTAGATCATATCTGTAGTATTAAACTCAATGCCATTAATAATAATACTTAACACTGGTATATTGCATTCAAGCATTCAGAACACTGTGCATGCATTTATCTAGTTGCAATTCTTTCAACCTTTATATCCCCCATATTGAAGAGGATACTGGTTGTGGAGAGAAAAACAAGTTGATAAAGAGAGAGTGATATGCCTAAGGCACAGGTGGAAAGTCTGTGGTCTTCCAGATGTTGCTGGACTACAGCTCTATCATCCCTTAACATTGGACATGCTAGCTGGAGCTGATGAGAGTTGGAGTCCATCAACATCTAGAGGGAACCATGTTGATTACCCTGACTAAGGGCACCTAGTGAGTTAACAGTAGAGACAAGACTCAAACAAAGTCTCATTGACTCATAGCTCACTGTCTTAGTTATATATGATAACTTAATGGGATTCTCAAACTTTGGAAACACAATGTGGGCAACCCAATTCTACTCATCCTTAAAAAACCAAATAGTAGAGTTCACCACAGTTCTTCTAACCTGGAAATTCCACAGAATAGCATACTGCAATCAATTTTGGGATTTCCCAGAAGTACCTCTTCTGGTTGCATGTTGAGACAGGGCTATATCTATGCAACATTAATGATTGGCTCAGAATCTACCTCCAGGGACAACTTATGAGAGAGTCACAGAAGATGGAATCTTCATTTCAGAAGACAGAATTTCTCTAATGGAAACGTGGATTTCCCATTGCATATTTTCCTGGCATTGCACCAGCAGAATGCCTTGCATGAGGATGCTGTGATGAAGTGCAGGGTTAATCAAAATCCTTGTAGCTGTGGAAGTGAAGAAAGGTGTTGTTAAGGCTGGGACTACTCCCATTACAGTAATTTCAATGGAACATGAAAACTTTCATCATCTTGATTGTAAACAGAAGGTTATCCCATTGCAAGAGACAGGACTGGGCGTAGGATTTTTCACATTTCCCTTCCATTCTTCATCTTTTGTGCTGCTGGTGTTCTGCCAGTGGTAGTCTCCACCCCAAATACAAGGTTACCATTACTGCACCAATAGTTTTTTCCACTATTTCCTCCCCCACAACCATTGTCATGTTGTGCTCCAAGTGTGTGTGAGAGAGTGTTTAACATTGGTCCTATCCTGCCCAGGTGGCATAACTCAAGATAGATTCCCTCTCAAAATTAACTTTCCAACTAACTTTTATAGGAACCAAATTTAAAACAAAACTTTTTACATGGGGCACCACTCAGTTGTGAAAGGAAGGACTGATGTCATAACTAATCTGAGCAACTCTCAGTCCAGTCAAGAACCAGTGTGGTGTAGTGGTTAAGAGCGGTAGTCTTGTAATCTGGTGAGCTGGGTTCGTGTCTCCGCTCCTCCACATGTAGCTGCTGGGTGACCTTGGGCTAGTCACACTTCTCTGAAGTCTCTTAGCCTCACTCACCTCACAGAGTGTTTGTTGTGGGGGAGGAAGGGAAAGGAAATTGTTAGCCACTTTGAGACTCCTTACGGTAGTGATAAAGTGGGATATCAAATCCAAACTCTTCTTCTTCTTCCATTTCAACCTCACGTTTGCTGAAGTCTAAACTGATTCGAGTCCTTAACAGTTAAGGGCTGGCTTAACTCATAAGAACATTAAGGAAAGCCCTGCTGGATCAGTCAGGCATGCTGTTCTCACAGTGGCCAACCAGATATCTGTAGGAAGTCCACAAACAGGACCTGATCACTCTTCCCCACTTTTGATTCCCAGCAACTAATATTCAGAGACTTACTGAACAGTGGCAGTGGAACAAAGTCATTGTGCCTAGTAGCCATGAATAGCCTTATCTTATTATCTGCTATTAGCCTTACAGCAGCTAGCACCCGTGCACCATACAAAGGAAGGACAAGAGAACCCATCGCCCAGAGGGGGGATACTGGTGTGACTACCTCAACCTGATAGGCTGGATTTGCTTCAGGATGTAAGTATTAGATTCTAATACAATAGCGTCAATGAACACAGCACATGTAAGACAAGGCTGCCTATTCAGAGTTGCTATTCCAAACCAAGCCTCTAAAAAAATCATTGTCACCCAAGACTTGTAAACAAGATCTTAATGACAAAGAAAGGCCAGTATAACTAGATTCAAAGGCAATTAGATAAATGCAAGGCGGGTAAACACAACAGCTCGGCTCGTCAAAGGCTGTTTGTCAAGATTGTCAAAAGAATATGCACCACGTGCTCTTCTTAACCTTTGACTGACAGTAACAAAATCAAGTCCACTGGACTTGTCAGACCAAAATCACAGCACAGTCAGCCCCCCTGTCACAGTCTCATATCACTTCCCAATCTGCTGCACAGTGCTTCCTTGGGTTAATAGTTTCCGATTCTCCAATTCTTTGTTTGCACAGAAGATCCAAACACAGCTTAATCAGAAAACTTTTAAAAGTGCTAACGTTTACAGGTACGTGTCCATGAACCCCAGAAAAAGCTTCAGTAGATCCCATGTCATATATCTCCATGACTGGAGGAGTACCTCCTTCAAATTCCACAGTCATTTTATCCAAAATATGTGATAATCTCAGACGGCAATAGCAAATGCAGAATTGTGGGTTCACACCCCACAATGCCCTTTGGGCCTCCACAAATCAAACATTCACACATGCAGAACAATGTCCACTATATGAGATGGCATTGAATTGTGTCTGGGCTAATTGTAGCTGCACCACTATGACCGCAAGGCTGCAAGCTGGTATTATGCCCTGGTCCTTCTGATGATTCACAACGTGATATGTGAAAGAGAGTGGGCAAAAGAACAATCAGTGGCCCAGTTTACCTATCATATTAACCATAGCTAAAAATCCATAGTTTATTATTTAATGTGAACATACAGGGTTTTTTTTGGGGGGGGGGTTCCTTTGCTCCTCCCTGACTCCTGCTGCTGCTGCTGCCAGACAAGCTATATATTAAGCATTCATGCAGATTTGCTTATGCAGAGGTTAGATTATATCTGGTCTTTATTGTACATTCATTCTGATTTGTTTTGTATGACAATAATCATTAATCCTGATTTGCTTGTTTGGTATTTATATGCCTTCCTAAGCCACAAAAGGTTTGTTGTTGCTGTCTTTAAGTGGATTTGTTGGGCTTGGGTGACAAAGCACTTTAATCCACTTTAATTACGCAAACCTAAAGTTCTGATATGTACTTGAATCCTTCCCACAGCATGCTGACATTCTGGAGGTGACCCCAGCCTGGCTTCTTGTGACATCTGAACCCAAGCTCATGGTTAGTTTTTCTCCAAGTAGCCAAGGTTTGGTCTTGTAACAATATGAAAGAGCCACTAGTTATAGCTTGAGTAGATAGTGGGTTGAGGGAAACAAACCAGGTCTCTGAGTTTGGATATATTGACAAGTCAGACTCTGGCTTTACTTCCCTGCAGGAGTAGAAATTACACCGGCATGCTGCACATTCACATTAAAGCAGTGCTTGTTTTCAACTATGGTTCAATGAGTCACGCAAACTGAGCCACTATTTCACATGAAGGAATCCAGACAGATTGTGCCACATGACAAATAAAATTTAATAGAAAACAAATAAACTTGTTCAGACACTCTTAAACATTCCCATACAGGTCAGAAGTAAGATCAGTGAGTTCATTGTGACTTGCTCTCAAGTAAGGGCACATAAGATTGCAGCTTCAATTGTATTAAACCATTTAAAACAGTTAGCCAGCTCCTCTTTTTACACTCCAGGGCAACATTTTGAATGTAAACTCTTCTTTGGGAGAAGGGGATTATGTTGCTGTTTAAAAGTGTTCAGTGTACAAATAGAGTGTCTCTGTGTATGTCTTCCTATACACATATAAATGTAAGGCTGCCATCAGGCTGCAGTTCACATGGCCACCAGTAAGTGACCATGTCAACTCCATTGTGACAACAGAATGGCAGCCCAGGCAAGTTGATTAACCGAGGAGGGGAGGCGTTTCAGAGAGTGGTTTGGCAAACCACTCTCTGAAGTGCCTCCCTGCTCCAATAAGTGCAGCTGCAGTAAGGTTTAATGGAGCGGGTGAGCCACTTCAGAACGCTGAAGAACCTCCCCTCCTTGAAAAGGGGTGAGGCTTGGGGCAATCTGTGAAGGGAAAGGTGAGCAAGTGGATGAGGTGTAAAGGTGGGCTTGCCTAAGAGGAAGATTGGTGGATAGGTGCAGTTGGCTAGTGGAGTGAGCCTTTTGTGAGAGTATATAACTGGTAAGCATGCCATACATACATACATACATACATACACACATACACACACACACACACACACACACACACACACTGGTTTTATAGAATACATTTAGATGAATGTGTGTGAGCACAAGTAGAATACCACCAAGTTAAGATGCTTCTTCTTTGGGGACAGAAAGCACTGGAAACTTGTGACATTTCATATACACTCAGTGAGCATGAGAAACATGTGCATTTCTACAAGGCAGCGGATCTGGTAACCAATATCAGATCACCAGAGAGATTCTGCACCCACAAGGCAGCTTTCATCCCACAGCTCTCTGCTCCCTGCTCCTGTCACTGCTTTGCCCCCAATCTGCTTCTTGGATTCCTTTACAAACATACATCAAACACACATCTTCTCCAAACTCTGACAACTCTTGTGTTTCAAACATTCCAGAGATCTCTCTGTCTCAGTAAAGTAAACCATCTTCTAACAATTAGCTCTTGTAAAAAGACATTCAGCCACCCTGGACCATTAACATTCTTTTGTCAGATTTCAGCTGTGATCAGGCGCCACCGAAAGAGGAAAAACTCAAACTGATGGTTCCATCCACAGTAATCAGGCAGCCCTATCACAAGAACAACACGGCATATTATGATTCTTGCTAGAAAAGGAAATCAGAATTTGATCGGCTCTTGTTAATCTCTAACTATGGGCAGCATTAAGACTGGTGCATGCACAGCTCTGAACATAGCTATTTCCAAGACTGAAAGGAAATGGGAGATGGCAAAAGGGATGACACAAAAGTGGGGAGGTGTGCATGTGCCTATGAGCCTGTGAGCCTTCATGGTCAAAGAGGGGAAGCAAATACAGCTGTACCTTGGAACTTGAATATAATTCGTTCCGGAATACTGTTCGACTTCTGAAACGTTCGAGTTCTGAGGTGCAGCTTCCAATTGGCCAACAGCTAGGTTTTTGCACAGTGGAAGTCACGTCGGACGTTCGTGTTCCAAGGAACGTTCAAAAACCAGAGCGCTTACTTCTGGGTTTCCGGTGTTTGGGAGCTGAGACCTTCGAGAATGGAGCCATTCGAGTTCTGAGGTACCACTGTATTAAGATCCTAGCAGGAAGGTCACACACTTTCTTTGGAGCAACAGATGGCAAGGCCTCAGTTGGGCCTAAAAGACGGTATGCAGAGCTGTAAAAAAGACAGTAACAGTTTATCCTAGGTCCATGTGTGCACATTTGATGATCTTAAAGTGACCATCCTAAAAGACCCATGTTGTTCAACATCTTTATAAGTGACGTGGATGAAGGAATTGAAGTCTTCACTCCTATCTCCAGACCTATCTGGAGATACTACAGACTGAACCTGAGATCTTTTGAATGCAAAGCACATGCTGAGCCACGACCCTTGCCCCAAAGACTGTCTCAAATGTTTAATTCAATCTCATCCAAGAATACAGAAAGTTTTACACAAATCCAGCTACACCACTGTCTGGTCCCTATCTTCCTCAGGTCCAGCAAATTACACCAGGAGGGATCCAGTGCTCCAAATGAGCCCTCTAAACTCATATCTTAGTTTTTTCCACCTCTCTTTCTCCTCCCATTGCTCAGTAATTGCTTTCCAGGTGTGATGCAAAGGTAGATGCATGGGAAAGGATCAGAACCTTATTTGTTCAGACCCGCTGCACTGCTTGAAGACAATACCCAGAAAGCCTTTCCTCCTGGCTGCCTCCCTTTGGAACAATGAAACAGCAGCTTGGTCCCAAATCCCTCGGCTTGTCAACAGTACCTGCCTCAGAGGGATGACCCACGTTTGCCCTGTGATATCAGGCTTACGACATGCTCTTATTTAGAATCAGAGGAGGAGCTCTCTCCCTCTCTCTGCATTGGCAGCAATTAAGTTCAGCAGACTCCTTTTGTAGGAAACACTTAGCTAGGCTCATTCATTATTTCTCTAAGTCACCTCTTGCCTCACACAACTGTAGTACAGTCACTCACCGACCCGTTTTCCAGCTGTACTGTAGAACAAGTGAAGGAAAGAACTTTGTTCTGGAATGGCTCAAAGGGTCTGACCTCTCTCTATTCTGCGTGCTCTTTTGTATGCTGCCAAGGAATGGAATTTGGTGTTTCAAAACGAAATATTGTGAACTTAACTGTTTGGAATGTATCACCCTGCAAAAGGGAAAGAAACCCCAACACTCCCAATTCAAGAGAGCACTACGCAAAAAATGCATTCTGGTCAGCCAGTTCCTAGTAACCATGTGGAGGACTTAACACACAATGAACCAGACAAGGAGCCACTGAAAAGTATTTTCTCACAACTGTATTCCACATGGCAGGTGTAATATTTTGAAAGCCTTTTGCCCCATCTGCATAAGCCTATAATCTTTAAGGCAGCATGACACACATCCTCGATGACAGACTTCACTGATGCGGATACATGGCACATATTGCACAGCGTCTTCCCAGTGGTGGCTCTCCATTTAGGAGCAATTTATTTTACTTCTTATCTATCTATCACGGGAAGCCACTACAGAAAAGGCCCATTCTCGTGTTGCCACCCTCCAAACCTCTTGTGAAGGGGACACGTGAAGAAAGGCCTCAGATGATGATTGCAGAGTCCAGGTCGGTTTATAGGGGGAGAGGCGGTCCTTGAAGTAAAACCATTTCTGTTTTACCCAGGCATCTGATGGCTGAAATATGCCATTTCCGGCAACCTTTAAAAGATTAACTGTGAGAGTATGTGATTGTTCTTAGATCATTTTAATACGTTTGTAGATGTTTAATATATATCAATGTTATTTTTAACATGTTTTTATCTGTATTGTTTTATTGTTGTTGTGTTTGCTGCCCTGGGCTCCTTTGGGAGGAAGGATGAAATAGACATTTGACAAATGAATACAAATAAACATCATACTAAAACAGATGCAAAATGTACTAAGTTTTAAAAAGCACTGCGGTGTGGACAGTGCTGCTTCCGGGAAGATTTTTCAGCAGCCTCCGTATGAAAGCTATAATGTTCCAATATAGTCTCCAGAAATCCCTGAAATCCTGTGTGAACTTAATCTTCTTTTGAGAGATTGCCTTGGGCACTTGAAAAGGCCCAGCTCACATGGCACATCATTTCCTTCCATTTCCTTCACCATCCTAAATTGTATCACGTTTTTGTTAATGCTGTCTCCCCCAGCATGCTAGAAAGCCTGCCAGGGTTCTACCTTCTGCTGTGGTTTGTTTCTGGAATGTAAATTGTTGAAACGTGTATTCGCCTACTTCTTAATCTGCCTTTCCTGCCTGATATTTGTCTAATGTTGTTAATGAGAGTCTGATCCACACAGGAGTCAGCAGAGGTGTGACATAACTGTGCAGCAAACTATGATCAAACAACTGTTTTGTCAGGTATGTTAGCCTCTGTTCTGTCGTGCTAAAAGGGATGCATGAGAATCAGCCCTTGTCCCATTTTGAGACAAGCGAGGAGCTGGCAGACCGTCCAAGTGTTCCTACTTTCCAGGGACAGTTCCAGATTTACAGAAACTGTCCTAATTTCTGATTTGATCCCGGAATGCCCCGCTTTCCAGTCAGATGGGCAGGCTAATAATAATAATAATAATAATAATAATAATAATGGAATAGGACATCCCTGTTTCCATCAGACAAATGTTGGAGGGTATGCTCTGGAACTCAGAGACCAAGGAGCTAAATCATGGAACTATTATATCAGCACTTAGTGGCTAGGAACTGTTTTTTAAATGTCTATAAAAGACCTAACAGTTCCTCCTTTGCCTAGAGCTGCTCAAAGCCGAGATCCAGAGCATGCATAGGGCTTGCCTCTTCTGCCATGTTGGCCTGAGAGATGGAAGACCTCAAGCTCTGTATCAACAGGCATGAGCACTGCTGGTATTCCTGTAGTCCCAGATGGTGGGTGGGAGTGTTCAGAGATGGGATGGATGTCGCAACAAGGAACAGTGGGATCCCAGTATTGGAGCCTCTTTCTGGGATTGCAGCCTCTGCTCGTGAGTCAGGAGGTACTGAGTATGCAGGTTTCCCATAGGGTCCTGCTCTCCCTTCCTCAGTAGAGAAGGCTTCATTGGGGCTGAGATCTGAATCCTGATGGGCCCTGACAGTCTTGCCTAGCCTGCCAATTGCTAAATCAGCATCTTGTCATTCTGTGGTTCTTGCTTTTCATTATCTTTTCAAATCATTATTCATTATCTCAGTAATAGAAGGGCCATAGCTCAGTGACAGAGCACATGCTTTGCATACAGAAATCTCCAACTTTGCTTCCTGGCATCTCTAGAGAAAATAAATTGGATACCAGGTATGGAGATGGTTAGCGGGTAACATAGGGGGCCTGAGCCCCTGATCTTTTGCACCAGGGCCTGATCTCCTGCTCCTTTTCCCAAACTGCAGTGCTGGTGAGAACCCATCTACCCACCATCTTAATTTGCCCAGAGGCATCTATACATATAAATAAGTCCATGCTAATTTTATGCAAATTTCTGCCCATGCCTTGTGTTGGACACATTTAGTAAAGCAGATCCACACAGAACAAGCAAATTGTGTCACATGTCACAGGAGTGTGTGTGGAGAGAGAGAGAGCGAGAGAAAGAAAGAGAGAGAACAAACACAACACATACACACAGCATCAGCATCAGCCTGAAAAGATACACCACTCTAACAGGGACAGAAGGGAGATTCCTTTCTCAAGCCAAACATAGTGACCAATAGATAGAGCCAGGAACCTCATTTCATTTTCTTAGCCTCCTCCTGTTTTCTTAGCATGCGTCAGCAAAAGCCTACCTTACACAATATACTGTCTCCAATAAATTAACTTTTCAGAGGTGGGAGAATTCTTTTCCACAGCTGAACCTCCGGCTTGATTAACTGTATCTCCCTCCCTTTATTTCTCAAGAGGTAAAGTTAAGCATTTCTGAGCCAAAATATCCTGTTCCTTCCACCCACTTCACTTAAGGAAACAAAAAAACAAAAACAGAAAAACCATCAAACACAGAGCCACACAGCATTTAGCCAAGATCAGAGTGAACAGATTAAAAAAAATGGTAGCCATAAAAGCACCAGCTGTGCCATGCAGTGCCAGAGATTAGAAAAAGCCACCATTTTCCTTAACAAAGCCAAGGCTCAAACAAAAAGAAGTGCAACTTGTTCATGGTAAGTCTCATTCTCTCTAGTCCTTCTAAGCAACCAGGGCTGTGAACCCACTCCCACTTATTCCACATCCAGGGTGCTCCCACAGCTGGTTTGGGAAGCAGTGTACACATGGCATTAGCCACAATCCATATCTTCAATATATATATTCTGTCATTTCTTAGGAAACCCTGTTTCTATGTGTTTTTCAAAAGACAAGATCCAGTCCACATTGAGAAAAAGAATGACCTTGCTGGTAATGTGTACACAGCCCAAGTCACATAACTCTCACCACTTCTGTGTGTACAATCTGAGCAATCCTTTGATATAATCTATCAGGAGCAGATCAGTCAGTCTCCTTGTTATTTAACACCTCAGCCACCCATTGTTCTGGCTCCCAAATGGCGTGAAGAGTGCTTTATTTGTTATAAGCAACTCAGTCCATTGGCTGAGCCAAGCAGCCTGTCAGCCAGGGCCACCTGGGTGCAGACCCATAAAGATGAAATATTATGCCCATATTCCTTTGTTTATCCAAGGATGCTGTTTGCTAAATCTCCAGCAGAGGATCCAATCTGTGCAGTTGGGACTACAACCAATAGTCTTTATAGGTTAGCCAGTTCTTTAATGTCTCATTTATTTTAAAGTATTGTCCCGCTCTTCTCTCCTCTCCTAGTCTTATTCTTAATAAAATCTATCTGTAATTTGGCTTTGAGGCTGAGACTGTATTGGTAACAAGAAAATGTGTGCCTCAGCTCACTGGCTCCATGTGGACTTGTGCCTAAGGAGAAGCACAAGGAACGCAATTTTCCCTGGTCCTGTGGAGGCAGGAGTGTGTTAATAGCAGGCCACCTCACCCAGGTAGAGAACTGGCTCATAGCTCTGGCCTCCTTTCCTGGCCAAAATCAGTGGAAGAAGGAAGGTGGTGTGGAAGACTAATGAACAATGTTGGCATGACTGGTCTCCCTCCCAGGGCATTTGTGGTGAGATGGGCACTACAACTGGCATATCCAGAACAAAACAGAACCCCTTATATTCCCACAGACTCTGGTGTCACTGCCTCCGAGACCTAAAGCTGTGCAAAGTAAACATATGGCTCCATTTCTTACCCTCTCATACTTGATCTCAGCCAAAAGGCCTTCTGCTTGTTAGGCTGCTCCCAGACCTGAGGCAAGGATGAGCTGGTTGGCATCCGTCTGTCTCAGCAGACAATGGAGGACTGTGAGTAAGATTCACCTCCAGCCAAAGAGGGCCCATGGCACAACACAAGGATAAGTACCTCCAACTCAAATAATCAGTCTTTTTTTTCATTTGGCTGGATTGCAAGTTTACCCCACGCAAGAGGGCAAACCAATCTCAAGCTGCTTTGAGTACGATCAAAATACAAGTGAGGCTACTCACTTTGGGTTGTGCTTCCCCACTAAGAGGCACTAGTATATGGTTACAAATTTGAGGGGTGTTTGCTTGATGTTTCCCACACTGTGTACCATCTCCCCAAATTGCCTATGTGTTCACCAAGACAGATTTGAGAGGCATAAAATTGAAAGGGCTCACAGGCAAAGCTACTCAAACACACACATGGAAACAGCGATCCACATATCCATTAGTGCCCTGGGGTGGACGCAGCCATAGTAAATGTCATCATGAAATAGGAAATCTATGTGGTGCCATCTTTTCAGGCTGAATGAATTCCCTTAATGTTTAAGGTGCATTCCTGCTGCTCTCTCCTAGGCCTGCCTGTCCCTGACATGTGATTGGAGCTTGACACAAAAAGAGATTGTACTCAGTCAGCAAAGAACCGAAATGCAATACTAATGCCGTTTCCGTAAGCTGCTCAAAGCAAAGGGAGCTCTTTCGCCATCTCAGAGGTGGCTGCATTTCAGTGATTAGTAGATAAATGTGGGCTTATAAATCACAGTGAAAACAAGGCCAAGAAGAGTCTTGAATACGGGAGAGCACTTCTGAATCGACAAGCCTTTGGACAATAGGATCTCTGAGTCAATTGCCTTGGAAGCTTCTCTTGCTGTTCCCCCTGGATTCAGCATTCTGGCTCCGTCTCTGGGTCAAACTCCACTGTGCAAAACTGCCTGACACAGCTTTGCTCACACCAGCCACGTGGGTATTTTGGTCCATTTCCTCCTGCACTGCAGCAGGCTTCTGTTTGGCTCAGATGCTCCTGGCCTCATTAGAGGTCTGGATGGTAATTGGGAACAGCCTGTTTTGCTGTCCAAGACCTTCCACACTGCAAAAGCCCTGGGGGAGGCAGGGAATGTGTTTCCCTCTGATGTAGCCCACACCTCTGCACTTCCACTCCTCAGTAAGGTGTGTGTTTTGCTTCAGTCGCCAAAGCGTTCCACATCCTGCAGCGTTGGGGGAGCTTTCGCCTGCTTCCCAACCAAGCTTATTAATTTAATGAGGAGGAAGGCTCCCTCTTAGCAATTACTGCGGCAGCAAACTCCCCCTGCAACCTTAGCCTAGCTAGAGAGATTTTGAAGTGACCCGGTGACCACATGATCTGCTTGAGGCAAAAGAAAATACGTACGTTCGAAACATCAGCTGCCTTGGCAGGGCAGGTGCCGTGTTTGAAACAAAAACGGCCCTATGCTGGGTAAGCAAGTGTTCAAGGAATAAGTTTTGCAAGCAGATCAGCAGTATAATTTCAGTGGTGGACTGGATTCTGGGTGCAGGGAGCAGGCAGGTATCACAATTTTGCACACAGCAGTTTTTACCCTTGCTCCATGATGGCAAGGCAATTGCTACAGAAGAAGTGCTCTAATGAGAGACCCAGCAGCACAGCCTATCCAACAGCAAATAAAACAGGAGCCTACGCCACCTAGCACCTCAGTGAAATCTGCTAGTGATCCTTACTTACATGCCAAATACAGTATTTGATGAAATGTCAAAGGATTCGGAGACTAGAGCATTTGAATGTATAGCTGAACCTTTCAGGACCATCCAGACAGGTGTATTCTGCAACATGCTCTTGACATGATAATAGTGCATTAGTTGTGAGTTTATTCTGCTTTATTAGTTGCTCTGCGATGCTTCCTCCTTCTGCCACATTACTGCTGTCTAGAGTGGCTATAGCATAACAAAGTCAGCGCACAAAGAAAAGAAAAAAAAGAAAAGAAACCAGAACATACGTGGCATGAAAAGTTACGGGATTTCGGACGTTTTTTATGTATGCGACCACAGCAGCAAGGATTCTTCTAGCAAAGTATTGGAAGACACAACAACTACCCACACTGGAAGAATGGCAGACGAAGGTGATCGACTACATGGGACTGAGCGGAGTTGACTGGCAGAATCCGTGACCAGGGAAAGAGACAGTGGAAGAAGATTGGAAGAAATTCAAAGTTTATCTTAGAACTTGTTGTAAAATTCAGGAATGTTAAAATGTCAAGGGATTGCAAGCAGAGAATTGCAGCTGTAATTCACAATATTAGAAGAACTTAAAAGAAATTGAATTGAATAATTAGTCGACTGAGAGTTGCTGAAGAAATATAAAACAAGGATGCAGAAAAGGGGAGGTATGGGAAGTCCGGAAAGAAAGGTTTATGAAAAAAAAGGCTTATCAAATTATACATGTTTATTTGTTTGTATGTCGGTGTATTGTGTATTGTTTGTTTTTTTTTTTTTTATTTTGTGTTTGGAAAATTAATAAAAATTTATTTTAAAAAAAAAGAAAAGTTACGGGATTTCAACAGGAAACTACAGGATAAACACTGATTGGAAATGAAGCAGCATGGTTGCCTCAAAACCTTTGCAGGCACAAATTATTGAAAAATGATTGCATTTGACCACAACAGGAGTACAAATCATCATAAGGAAGGGCCACAGCTCAATGGTAGGACATCTGCTTTGTATGCAGAAGGCCCAAGTTTCAATCACTAGCATCTCAAAGCAAGACTGGGTGTGTACCTGTTTACAACAGCTTCCTGTGTTCCTACAAATGCCCATAGGTAAGACTTGATGGTTTGGTGTATGTGCAAAAGTCAGAATTTTCCATATTTGTTGCCAGCATTAGGGCATTTCTCCATGCTAGAACGGCAGTGATCCTGGCTGCAGATTACATACTCTGTGTTGTTCTGCTGCATAGGTGCCTGGACTCCTGGCTCAAAGATTAGCCCAGACAGCACCATTGCTTCCCAATTCAGTAATAATGTAGGCCCTAATTACAGATCTTGGTGCACAGAGCAAGGAGCAGTTCCAAATGCAGCCATCAAAAGATGGTGCTTTATTTACTGTACATCTATTTCCTGTTTCTACTATTCCTAATATTGTTTTTATATAAAAGAACACAAACCACAGTATGCTTCCCTTTTAGTGGCATACCTTATTCTCAATTTAAATCATTGGAAAATAAGACATGCCGTGTGATTCCATTCATTTTTACTCAGAACTAAATCCTGCTGAGTTAAATTGGACATTTCCAAGTAGGCCTGTTGTCACCATGCCAGCTCTTAGTTGCAAGCTCTTCTAATGACCAGCTGGGATGGAAACAGTTGAACGAATGAAGGTGCCAAATGCTGCTGGTTTCTCCACTGTGCAAGTGGGAGGGCCTTGCATCCCTTCTCTTCCCAGCTGCTATATCCTGAAGGAATGACTGCTGCCTAGTGACAATTGATGGAGGAAGGAGCCTGGCTTCTCAGCTGAGCAGGTGATGGTCCAGCATCTCTTCTCTTCCTCCCTCTGATGCAGCCAATGTGGTGTTATTCTGAAGCATTCTGGGAAATTCAAATGACACCCACTTCCCAGACCAAGTGCCTGAGTGCCCTAAGAGTACATTCAAACCTGGAGCAAGACCTGTGTCTTAGGCAGTACCGTAGTAGAAAAGGGTGGTTCAAGGAAAAAACCAGGTATATAAAAAGGAGAATTCCAGGATGCCACGATCCAAGTTTAGGGCAAGTACTCTTTGGTGAGAGAACTGCAGCAGAGATCTAAAGCATGTGAAAGTTTGAGAAGGCCTTTGGGTAGTAACTGATTGAAGGCTGAGAATGACAACCATATGTCAGGAGTGCTCTGATGGTGTTTCCTGCTCGGCAGGAGGTTGGACTCGATGGCCCTTGTGGTCTCTTCCAACTCTATGATTCTATGATTCTATGTAGAAGGGGTTACAGCCTTCCTGAGCTTAAAAATCTTTGCTCTTGAGGATGCTGAAACTAGTCCTATAGGGGTGGAAATATCCTCTCAGCTGACCTGCCCGGAATTGGCAGAGGGCAGGGGGAACAAAGCAAGGGTTTTGTATATAGGGTTGTTGTTAAGGGAGTCAAACCGTGTGAATGTGATGTGTAATGCATGAAGGTTTAGCTGCCCTCTACAGAACTTGGTCCTGCCTACCACATGTAGGAAAGCCTTGACCATTCCCTGATCCGCCCGCAAAGGTGGCTTTCAGGGGGCAAAGCCTCCCCATCTTACAGGTTGAAAAGTAGCTATTCTCTGCATTTCAAGGTCACAAATGAGAAGACATACTCAGAACTATATACAGGTGTTAATTATTTTAGCAGAAAGAAAAAGACACCTCAAGCATAACCTGTTGCGATTAACACCTGCTCTTCTTTCTCTTGTTGACTGATTGCCCTAACTCCTTCCTTTCTTTTTCTAATAAAGAAATGGATTGCTCTTTTTGGGTTGCAAATGTTGTTGCAGAAGAAGAGCTAGACATGTCCAGACTGAGATTTTACTTATTTTATTATGTAAAATATATACACTGTTAGGATCACTCCTTCAGATGTTCTCACCTGCTTGTGTGAGAGCTGGAGACTGAAAGCATTTGATTTTCTCCCAGCTGGTAACAATCCAACACAGCAAGGGTGAGTCTCACTACCCCCAAACTAGGGCAGAGATGTATGCAATAATCTATACCGAAAAATCCTCCCCACTCTCCTGCTTTATCAGTCCACCAAACTCTACAAATGCTTCGTGTTCTCTGGGTCCAAGCTAGATGTGTCATGGGGGCAATTTTGATTGGTGAAAACAGAGCAGGGGGAAGGATTAAGCCCCTAACCCATTGCATTTGTTTCAATCCAGTCAGCAGCCTTCCGCAGCTCCTTAAAAGTGAAAAAGAGATATTGGGAAAGTTATATTAGACACATGGAAAGGACTGGGGGGGGGGGAGAAACTTTAATTGTAACTTCAGTTGAAACCAAATCTTATTTGCCCGTAACAGGTTGCATGAAGGAACCATCTACATAGAGAAACAACCATAAAAGGGATTAAGCAGATCTCTACTTTCAAGGCTGTGTTAAAGGACTTAACAACCACACAGTGGAAACACTGGCTCTGGTCTAGGGATGGAGGCATCTGCCAATTTTAGTTTAATTTTCTATATTAAATTGTTTGCCACATTTCTGTATCAGTTTGCAACTGATGTCCAGCTTCTTCAGAATGAAAGTCAGCAGAGACTGTGGTGCCTTTCAGATATATGGTTTTATTTATGCATATACAGTGGTACCTCAGGTTAAGTACTTAATTCGTTCCGGAGGTCCGTACTTAACTTGAAACTGTTCTTAACCTGAAGCACCACTCCGCGCCGCTGGAGCACGATTTCTGTTCTCATCCTGAAGCAAAGTTCTTAACCTGAAGCACTATTTCTGGGTTAGCGGAGTCTGTAACCTGAAGCGCATGTAACCTGAAGCGCATGTAACCTGAGGTACCACTGTATACAACCTGAGCATAGGATGTGGGGGCTCACAGCATTTACACTCCCAGAGACCTTATCTCCCCTTCAGGTTTTCAGTTGCATAGAACAACACATGTATCTGTCTGTAGCTTCCAGCATCCAGCTTTCAGTTCATACACTCAACAACTGTCACTATTGTTCTCCTCAAAGACTGGGGTGGGGAAACAGTCTACCCAGTTGTTCAATGGCACAGAGCAACTTCTTTGGCTATACTAAATCATGGTACTTAACTAGCTCGCCAAAGCCATTGTCTTCGAAAAGGAACATGTTTCACCAGCTTCCTCTTATGCATTTTACCCTCAGATACAGGATCCCAAGAATGGGAAGGGACCCCCCCCCTTCCCCACAAACTCAAAACAATCCATTTTTTGCAATCAGTTTCCCCTCATATAATGCATTTGTTCTTCTTTCTGCAAATAAATGCATGTTTATGCTTGCTTCCTCTAGTACACACATTTCTGTATACATTTTCTGGTTGAAGAACAGCACTGCAGAACTCAGAACAGTGTGCATTTTGAAGGCTGGCTGCATCACACCTTGTTTGGGGAAGCGCAAATTTGGTGATTTCATATTGAAATTTTAACTGTACCAAACTTACCCTGCGTCTGCACTCTGGTCCACTCCGCACTGGTAGTCAAAGGGCCATGAACATTTATCACTAGGCAACAGCTGCTGGGTACAGATTGGAGACAATAGGAGGGCTCTCAGCATAACTTCTGCTCAGCAGACAAAGCTGGATTCCCCCCAAAAGGATTGTTTCCAGGTGTGCAAGAATTCTCATAGATATAGCAGAGCCAAAGGTTTCTTTACAAGGTACAAGAATCACAAAATTGTAGAGCTGGAGAATTCAGACTTACTCAGCCAGCACTAATTTTGATGGCAACTGTTTTAGGGAGGCATCATTGACATAGAAATCTGGATGGGGCGGATTTTGGCTTCGGATTGTTTAAGGCAGGTGGCTTCCATGAAAGTGAATGTAAACTGGCCTTCTCCCTGTTGAGGTTGCTTTCCGCTTGGTGTTTGTGTGTCTCTCTGCTTAATACCTGGCTGAGGATCAACTGTTCTACAGATGTCTCCACCCCACCAAGATAAGGATTGTTAAAATAGTTCTCTGGGCAGTATCTGGGAAAAGGAGAAGGGGAATTTGGTTCAAAAGTTTTCCAGTCAATAACATCTCCATGTTAGAAAAGGTAACC